TTCATTCAAAAATAGAAGCTATGTTTTGAAAATAAAAGGTTATGTGGATCGATTGATTGTGTGAATTAAGAAATTCATTTTGTAAATTCTACCATTAATTATTAGTTACAAAAAGGTATGCTAGTTTTCAATTTACGACTAGCATTGATCCATGGATTCTCTTTGTCAGCATCTTACCTTGAATAAGTTGCCTTTATTTGGATGGTTATTTTAATTAGTGGGCAGTTGACGTAAGTCTAGGAGAAGGGGGTTTAAGATTACATTAATAGCATTGTAACAAAATTTAATATGGTAGTGGGCTTTCGGATTTTAATTGGCAGCTTCTCAAACCATGAATACTATCATGGATGTCATACGGATAGCCATCCATCTAATGTAAATGGAGAGTGCTGATTAGTTTGTAGTTTGCACCGGAAGGTAAGGTCCTTCGGGGTCCTATCTTATGTGTTACCGCTGTCAGAGCCTAGTTAGGTCTCCGATTCGGATTCCACCTTAACCCGTGATCACGTTGCAAGTCCATGTTATCCAACCCCGCTCTCTAGAATCGGGAAGGGCCATGGTCCTTACTTATTACCATAATTCAACCGACTATCCTCAAAGACTACCGAACACACCCGTAGGCCAATCCTATATCTAGGATCATTTCTTGCAACATTTCACTTTAATGCCCGACTAGTATATAAATACTAGTCGGACTAATTCCAACAATCCAAGTTCTCCGTTCATAGTCATATAGACAATTCCAAAGTGATTTTCCATTGAAAGTATAATTTATATCAATATACAAAATATCACTTTTAATCACTCATATATTCTTATATGAAGTAAAAAGTATATTTCAACATAAGTTTCATAGTTAATTCCACTATCAAGTCAACATACTTATAACACATGATCATACACAATTTACTCTTAAATTTGTATATCATGCTCTTTTCCTTATAGACAATAGTCTCCTCATTTTTAGGCATTATTAATCATTAATAATCCATAAAAACACATTTAATTACCTTAGGTAATCTCATGAAATTAACTCACTAATTATAAGCAATATAATCACTCATCCTCACCTTATGATGTGCTCAACTAGCTGCCTTAGCGAAACCCCTCGATCCGTCCTCGTTCCAGGCCGTTCAAGAGTGAAAAATCTGGACAACCGGTGAAAACCGGGCGGCTTTCGTGAAATCCGGGCTGAGTTCGTGGCCTGCAGTTACGGGCAACCTATTTTTTTTGGCGGTTTCCGGTGATTTCAACTCCTATCGATTCACCAACTCTTCTAGGTTAAATATCATCACTTTATTATACACTTTTAAATGTGTATAACATCATGTTTAATCCACCATATGATTTCTTAAAAATCATACACAGTAAAACTAGTTAAAGAACAATAGTTATGTTCTTACCTCTTCTTCTAGCTATTTCCTTTTGGTTTTTCCTTCCTATTAGCTTCTCCAAGTTCTTGTTTGTGAGAGCTATTCCCTGGACCTTGTCTCTCTATTATTTCCTTCGTATGGTGTAAAATGAGGGAGGAGTCCATCTACTCTCCATCAACTTGGAGAATAATGCATGAATGAGACAAAGAGGGGTGTGGCTTTGTCTCCAGCTACTCTCTCTTTCAAAAGTCCGCACATGTCATACTTTGATGTCCCATTCCCATTATTTAGAGTGCACAACACATGTGGGAAAAGTCTCAAATGGGTGTAGGGAGTTCCTCCCAATTATTATTACTATTTCTGGCAGGTTGGGTCAAAATAGCACTTGATTCGTCCAAATATTTTCCTCAACCTCGGTTGGCATTTTATTGGACTTCTATAATTATTATGATGACCCAACTAATTATTTGGTAGCCCATTCTCAATATAATGGACCCGATAAATAATTTAATTAATCACGAATTAATCAAATATATCAATCTATTACACGATTTCTATTCGATAGAAAATTCAAATACAAATCGAATTTCAAATTAAAGTACATCCGGGAGCGATGTCACATATTGAATCTTTTGTAATTGTTGTTACATTGATGACCAATGGGTCATTCATAATGACAAATTGAGATTTTTAAATGTAAATCTTAAAAAGGATTTTTATTATCAAACTACCCTTAAAAAGGTTTGATACATTTTAAAAAGAATTGTTTCCATTCCATTCACACGGTTGGAATGGGTCGACCTATCTAGTCGACCCTCATATCGTTGTTATACTGTAGGAGCAGCCTACGATGAGGATCATACTCCCGTAACTAAAAAATACGCGAATGAACAGTAACTATGTTTTTTTCTCAACATTTTTTTGTGATGGAAATCACTTGTAATAAAATGTAACTCGCGTTGCCACAAATGTAATTTTAATTAGCGGAAAATGTAACTTGTACCGTGACATGTAAGTGATGTAACTATGTTACTTTTTCCAATGGTTCCCTCAAGTTTTGTATATAAAATGTAAATCGGGTGTTACTAAATGTAAGTTTAGCCGAATTGAAATGTAAATCACGTGTTACAAAATGTAACTTTTTCAAACCACCGAAATGTAAATCACATGTTATAAAATGTAACTTTAGCCAAAGCGAAATGTAACCGCGGTGTATGTCAAATGCAACTCTATACTTTCAGCAAAACAAAGAGAGAGAAAAGTAATTAGATGATTTTCAAATGAATCTTCATATCCATAAAACTCAAAGCACAATAATTAAATCGATTCTCACATCCATGAAACCCGAAGCATAATGATTAACCCAATGGATGGGCCGCTGGTGTTTCTGCGGAAAGCTCTCAGAGCTTTAATGGCGCTAGGTCTCAAGATGTATGCGTTGTAGGCGGCAACGGCCACAACTTTGACAAACAACCCGACCCAGAAGAGCTACTATCTCATGGCGGATCGTAGCTCTTCTCCATAGCTTTTTCTCTCGCCGCTCGCCTCCATATTCTCAGATTTGACCCTGTTCAATTTTGGAGGGTTTGTCGGAAAATAGGTTCTTACCGCATTCGACCTTGTATGCCGCTCTAAGTGCCTGGTGTTGTTTGCCGTCAAGAGCAAGAACGAAATCACAGATTGCATGTGATATCTGGGGGGAAGAGAAGCATGTCTGCTATGTGGATGATATCAGGTGGAATGGTGCTCTCCGCCCTGCTTGTTTTACGGTAAAACGATACCGGATTGGGATCGGTACACCGTGCGCACAGTGTAATGATCCCACGGTATAATTTGCCTCATATCGAATAGGTCAAAACTAGCCGAACTTGGTCAAATCATGTCAAATCAGGTCACAGATTGTAATACTCCGTATATTTTTATATGCATACACTTTTTCTATAATATATTTTTTATCACTTTTATATGTTTTTAGAGGTTTTTAAGATATTGAGTTTGTTTATTTTGCTTATAGCTTGGAGTTACATTTGATAATATACGAAATTGCATCATCTTATACTCCAGTTACAAGTTAGTATGTGTGAGTTATATCTTGTTATGTGTGAGTTACATCTTGTTATACACGAGTTACATACTTTTATGCGCGAGTTACATGTAATTATGTGTGAGTTACATCTTGTTATGTGTGAGTTACATCTTGTTATACACGAGTTACATACTTTTATGCACGAGTTACATGTAATAATGTGTGAGTTATATCTAATTATTTGTGATTTTTTACTTATCTTTATCTTGAACTAATTTAATTATAATTGAATTAATTTTTTTCTTTGCCAATTCAATACAAAATTTTATTAATCCACATAAAATAAGTATATTGTATTTCATATTCATACACTATTTGTCAAATGATAAAAATAAAAGATGTAGCAGAGATTTATTTTGTGGTGTAACTCACATACATTAAGATGTAACTCGCGTATATTAAGATGTAACTCGCGTACAATAAGATGTAACTCGCGCAGAAGAAGATGTAACTTCATGATATATTATCAAATGTAACTTCAAAATAATTTGTTAAAATTACATAAGCAATATTGGTCTCATTTGATAGATCATGAAAAATAAAAAAAAATTGATATTAAATTTATAAAAATCGGATATCAAATAAAAAAATTATTAAAATTTCTAACAATAAAAGAAATAAAAAATACTGAAACTGGTTATAAACTGCGTCGTTTTGCAACCGGTCGCACCATCCTCATGGTGCGCCGATTGCAGGGTATAAACTGCGGATTCTCTAACCTAGCTATAATGATGATGCAAATAGACACCGCTAATAATTATGATTTCATTATTTTTTACATTTTAACGAGAACAAGATTAGAAGTATTAATTTAATTAAGAATCCTTTAAAACAAAAATTTGCACGAGATCTATTCCTAGATATTACAATTATACACATTTTGGCAATTTCTCTGTTTAATATGAATTACAATATTTAGTTCTAGAACTTATATATGATATTAAGGAAAAACTATTAAAATTGTAGATAAATAATTTGTATTCGGTATATCTTTTTGTTCGTCTTCCTTATGATCTGCATAACTCATTATCTTGTAATAGTGTAAAAAAAGTTAAGGTTCATCCTACTATATTTCTTTTGTCCCATTAAACATAGGATAGTGATCACATCATGTATGACCGAGAAGTCATAAAGTATGATTTAATAATATGAGAAAAAACATTTTAAATCTATTTACAAGAATCCGAGACAAAAAAATGGTAATAGAATTTTTGGTAATTTGAGTTTGCACCCCATCTTATTGTGCAAATTGGACTTTGTAACCCGTTTTTAAAAACCTTTTGTTTTTGCATCTTCAACTCCATATGAAAAGACAAAAATGCCCCTCCATTAAATTGTTGGCCTTCAACATATTCTTTGTTGCGAGCATTTTTGTCTTTTCATATGTGATTGAGGTGCAAAACCAAAGTTTTAAAAAAACGGAGTGCAAAATCCAATTTGGATAATAAAATGAGGCAGTAAACTCAAATTACCCCATAAAATTTCTACAACCTTATTCCTTAATCACAGTAGAACCAAATGCGTGTAACCCTACGGCATACGAACCCGATTAAAGCCTCAAGAATTACAGAGTACGCATGTCATCGGTTTTTAGGCGGGAAAGGCACGAACCACTTTATTGACCTCGAACCAAAAAACTTCCAAAAAGTTTCATTCTTTCGATTCCCTCACATCGATTTCTTCCCATTTAGTATCGAAATCGCCTTCTCTTTCTCGAACCCACAACATGCGGTCGATAGTAGCTTGCGGAAATGGAACTGATGTGAAACCTGAGGCTGTTTTAGAACCGGCGCCAATGGATTCTCAACTCGCACGGCTCCAACTCCGCCAACGCTGGGAGTTGGCTTCCATTCTCAACTTTCTCAACGTAAGTTCATATATTTCATAAAAAAGTTGAATCTTTCTTCACCCCAACTCCAGTTTTCGTTGAGCCTTTCGTTCCATGTTACCGATACACGCTTACATGAACATCGTTGGAAAAAACAATTCGCCCACATGGTTCTCTGAATCTATATCGGTGACTGGGTACACATTTCATATTCGTGGGAATGAATACACAGTCTTGTTCTGTTTCTCTGATGTATTGATTATGTATCTTGTTTAGCGAGCAGTAATTTGGCCGTAAATATACGAAAATGAAATCCATGCTCTCTGTGTGTTAGGTTTTTGAGCCAGTTCTTGGGATGAAACTTAAAATTTCAGCTGAACAAATTGAGATGGCCCTAATCGAGCCGGATGAATCTCTTTCTCAGCTTCATGTTGCACTTCTGAAGGTATGCTGCCTTTCCATCGTGGTTGGTTTTGGTTATATATGTATATACACCATTTGTTATTTTTAGTGTTTTCTCTAATCAGCAGTTATACATGACTTGCTAGTACTTTTATATCGTTGTCTAATTGGACGGTTTGGGAGATGTGTGTTAAATGCCAGATGCAATAGTTCTGCAATAGTAAAGAACTTGTGGTTTCCAGTCCTGGCTGAGCATTTATGTTATTATTTCTTTGCATCAAGAAAAGAATGGATTGGGGAAGCACTTGATCACCAAATATTAACTTTGACGAACTTAGAGTGTGTTCATATGCTTAGTTCAGTTCGGAATAGTAACTGAAGTTATTGGTGGTGTTTGACAAAAATTATTTAAGATCAATCAGTAGGAATGAAAGACTACAGGTTCTATAAGATTGGTTACCTACTCAATACTTGGGGATCATTGTGGTTCCATTGTTAGCTTTTTATTATTTTCTTTATTTATTCCTCATTCTCCTCATATTCCTTTTGCTATATTTATCTTCAACTCTTCATATCTCTTTGTTTTTGGTTGTTTTTCCCTCTACTTGTTCCTATCATTTTATTTGTCTTAGCTGTATTTCATCTTTTCATATCTTGCTTCAAAAAGTAACAACCCTTTTCTTTCTTTGATTTTTATTACATTCAAATTCAAATATGGATTGAATAGAAACTATTATAGCCTGTTAGGAAGTCTACTTATTAACTCACTGTTTGGAGATCCCATGATCCTCATTGCTTTAAGCCTTTAACCGAACTTGAATGATGCTCGACATTTAAATTGATTGATGTAGAAGAAGGTAACACTGGGGATAAAAGCGTACCAAGGAAGTATATACTCCTAATTGGGAGGAGAACAAAGAGTTCAGAGTTTCTTCTCCACTAATAATCATCTTACCCTGTTTGTGAACAAAAAATTGAAGGAGCGTGAATATATAAGTCTAAAGTATTAGTTCAGTTTTCATCTTTATGAAGTTGCTATTTACATAAAGATGTGATTTTATTTAGTGAGAAAAGTTCGACTTGATTCATGGTCTTGCAGAAGGAAGATGCACACGACATACTTCTTGTTTTAGTATAGTACGTAATATTTTATTATATTCTACTGTAGACCCATGTGAAGCTGAAATCCTTAATTGACCAAATGACAATCAGATAAAACATGATACTCCCTCCGTCCTGAAAAGGTTGGCCAAATTTCCTTTTTTGGATGTCCCAAAAAGATTTGCCATTTCCATTTAAAGTAAGGAATATGTGGCTAAAATTAATTCTCTCTCCTCTGCACAAATTTCAACCACACAATTTTTACTTTATTAATCCACGTGAAAGTCAACTTTGGCCAACCTTTTTGGGACGGAGGGAGTATACAGTGGCGGGCATTAGGCAATGACAAAATAAAACATGGAAACGAGTATAAGACTCAATTAATGATTGAGAGTGTTTGAATTCTGACTTACACATGGATTAGTTAAAAGATGGACCAAAACGTAATAGGATTGTTTCATAGGCTGTCAATAGGTGTGATGTTTACTACTCCTTACAATTGATACTTTGATACGACAAAGAGAACCCATGCATCTGAATGCAACTTTGTTGGATTAAATGTGAGGTCAATTATGAATTATTTAATTACCTTCCTTACTTAAATGATTGCCATCAGCTTCTTAAGTATGAAAAGGTTTAAGCTTGAGTCTGAAATGATAACTATCCATTTTAAGAAGAAATACCTGCAACCGATGTTCCTCAAATGAATCATGGAGCGAAGATCTTGCAATGATATCCAACTTGGATGTTGACTCTAAATGGTGGCTAGGAAATAAAACCTCAATACTGCAGGTTGACGCACTATTTAGTGGTAATTTTATTTGAAGCGATGTGATAGGTCCTATTAAACTTATGTCTGCAGATGCTTGCATGTCTTGTCTATTAGGTGCAGGAATGAAAAATGTTTGACTTAATGCTTTTAATCTGTTGGATATTTTTTCGGAAAATTATTATAATGTGTTACAATTTGTGTGCTATGAATCTCCAAGGTTGTACTCTTGAAGATTGCATTTTCCTTACTTTTATGTAATATGACTATGTGAGTCATATGCTTACAGGGAATACCCCCAGTGAGCAAATTACTGAATACTTCATTTGGTTGGGTGACTGTGCTAAGTAAGAAAGTCAAAATTTGGTGGCCATGGGTAAGGCCTTCCCGTTCATGCTTTTAAATTGTTCCCTATTAATGTAATGTAAATATAATAGGATCACTCACGGCAAGGTATTGCAGGTTGCTGAAGGTGATTGTCCTCTGAGTCCAGCCAAAGGGTACTACTCCCTTTGTGAATGTAAACAGTATTACTGTACATAAAAACCATCTTGGGATATGTTATAATTGGTCTTTTTCTTTCATTGCTACTTTCAGAGAGGAAATACACACTTACAAGGCAGCCAGTCCAATAATCCGCCTACTTCTTCTTAAAGCACTTTGTGAAATACGAGCTGATGTATTATTACTGTTCTCTTATCTTTTCTATGTGATGTTATTGAACCCAAAAAAGTCACTGTTGATGTCAATTTTGTACTCTGTTAACCTTATATTTATATTTATATTTTCATTTGTGGTTACTCATTACTTGTTTTCCTTTCAGCAAGATGATATATTGTCTCACATTAATGATTCAATAAAGAATGGAACTGCTCTTTCTGCTTTCCGGAAAGATAAGTTCGGAGGAGATGGATGTGGAATCTCATATTGGTAACTTTGATTTTATTGTGTTTGTGAAGATCCATATGTTTAAAGTTGATGAATGATATTTTTGTGTGACAGGTATGATGGGAATGAAACTATTGGTCACAGGTTGTACAAGGAGATTGTTAAAGTTGAGTGTAAGCCAAAAGTTAGGGGGGCGGGAAACACACTTGCGATGAATTCTCAATGGGAGACACTCGCGACCAATGTTGAAGAATTCCGTGCCTTTGCGGTAGCAGTAAATTTTATGTTCCTTTTCAAACACATTGACTCTTCATCAACTTACATTTATCGTTGTCATTGTCAGGATAATGTTTCATGTAGTGAAGCTAAATGGGAAGAAGCTGTGGGCAAGGCTGTTCAGGCTGATATTATTCCTGTTCTTGAGAAAATACAGAAGGTCATAAACTAGTGATTCTGTTTCAAATGCATGCTTGTGACTTTGGTTTGTCTCATAACATGCAAGGAATGTAGTATTTACTCTTTACACCATACCTGATGTAAACTTTTGTGGTTTTTCCTTTTTAACAGAAGAAAGATAAGGTTCTGCAACGGAAAAGAAGGCAAGATGTAATTCCAAATGGTTTTGGACAGTTAGCTTTTACTCGTTCCTGTCGGAATCGTGGACCTGTCAATTATAGATTTGGTATTATTCATAAACTGAAAAAGTAAATACTGGCTTTGTAGTTTTCATGGTCGCACATGCTGCTTACATTTGTAGGAGAACATGTTTTTCTAATAATGCTTAAAGGTAGAAAATTAATCTTTTTGAGGTATGAAAATTCTGAGACAATCTACTGTGATAAAGAACTTGTGAGTTCAGTTTTTTCTGAAATGCATCTAAACACATTCTCTTGCAACATGATTTTCCTTTGTGAATCTATGCAGATGATTACGATAAAGCTATTAAGGAGGCCATAGAAGTAACAAAGTAAGTCTTTGTAATCTTGCTTTTGCAGAATGTGTCTCTCTTTTTAAGATTAAAGGCTTTTAGCATACATAGGTACATACATATATATGCTGCTGTTGATGGAAGTCTTTTTTAATGTGTATGTCTGATCTGCTTCAGCAATAAGAAGACCACCAAAGAGAAAGGCTTTAGAAAACAATATAGTGAGCAGGGTACTGTTAATGGAACTGTCCCTGAAAAAACTTTGCCATCTTGCTCAACTGAAAATGAATCTACTAAAAGTGAGGTAAGTGACACTGAGAGTGACCATGATCAGGGAAGTGATTATGCCGATTCCACCAGTGATGAGAATGATGGGGAAAAGACTGCTGAATCTAGAGAAGAGGACTCCGTCAATACACAATCAGAGGATGATATCATGACTGACTGCAGTGATAATTCAACATTACTAGAGGATCCACATTGCAAGAGACCGTCTGGAAATGAAGGAGATACTGCTGATTCAGAAAGTGAAGAATAGACGCATTTTCTAAATCTGATGATTTTTGAGCTGATAACAGTAGGTTAAGGTTAGAGATTTCAGATTTATTCTCAGGTAATCAAGTTCCTATAAACAGGGGTCTCTTCTCCATTTACAAATGTTGGAAGGGCAATGACTTCATCAACTGAATAGCCCATATCTGTGAAGCCATTCAAGTCGAGGTTGTTTCTTGTACTCGTTAGACGGATGTTTACTTTTTGTAAATGAACTAGCACATATTATTGGGAAATGTTGTATGAAGGCAATTTTTTGGTGATTATGCCTCTCATTTCGTTACCAACTTGTTTGCCATTACTTTTTTATGAAGAACATTATACAGGCTTCTATCAAAGCATCAATTGTGCTCCCAATGCTCATGCTCTTTTTAATAGTTGCTTCATCCCATTGAAAGGTTCTCACTTTCCTTGTTTGGATGTACCATTTAAAGATCTTATTCCATTTTAGTAAATAATTTACTCTTTAATTACACCTTTATTCAAATTTCTCACAATGTCAAGTCTCACATTGTCTCCTCAACTTATTTCCCTTTAATTATTTTCATTTTATATGTTTATGTTTTCAAAATTTTCTTTCCTCTCTTTTGACTTAAATTACTTTATTTAGTCATTTGTCTAAAAAGTCATGTCCTGCATCCGCGGGAACCTTTCAACTAGACGGAGGGAGTATGAGAACTTGCTTATTTATTATTGCGGTTATGTTTGTGATATTACAAGCTTACAATTCCTCTATATACATTACGTAGTATTAGTTTGAGTTTAACAAAGCAAAGAGGTTTGCCGTCTTGCCGATGTAGTGAAAACTTCGTGTATCCAACCATTCTGTGGCGAGAGATGTTAGGAGAGTGAAGAGTCTAGGGAATGGACATTTGCTAACTTTATTCATTTCAAAAAGCTTTTTGCACCTATTACATGCTTTAGGTTTATGTAGCTTTAGGAGGAAACGTTGAGTGTTTAATTAAGAGCTTATTGCCAAAAAGTTTTTGGAGGTGGAAGGCTAGATAAACACTATAAACTATAGGAGTTATTTGCCTCAAGTCCTCAACAATCCCAAAACATAAATAGTAAGCATCACTTCCTCAACTCCAAATCCAATCCCATAACATAAATAGTAAGCATCACTTCCTCAACTCCAACTCCAAGATGTCTTTTTCTTATGTTCTACTAAAATTATAAATATTTTTTTAAAATTAAATCTCAATAACCTTTTACTTTCTCACTTTATCAATCATTTCACTCTTATATTTATGGGTTCATTTTACTTTTTCTTAATTTTTGGATGTTAGAATTGTGAAAGAAACTTTCTCTTTTACTCCTTATTTCTTAAGTCACTTGTCAAATCTAAGTGTATCTCACATTTTGGTACTAATAGGGCATACTTTAATTCGTGTAAATGGCTCTAGTGTAATACAATAATGCTCTTTTACTCGCTTCTCTTCAATATTCCGTCTTTCAACCTTAAGAATAAAAATAAAAAAACCACGTGCATGGGCATGAGGCATGCGAGTCATACAATAAGAATAAAAATTGATGTAGTCATAGATGAGGAAAGACAGACTCTTTTAGTCATAAGCCAGAGAATTTTCTCTAAATGAAATTCAATAGGCAAAAGTAGCCCAAACGGGTAATTTCCACTTTGATGTTTCTAATGCCTAGTGGTGCACTAATAAGATTAAATTTAAGTCACGAGGATCACTTATAATGACATATGTATAAAGATACCAAGTATGCAGAATATTATACCATAATATATGTCACGCCCCAGAACACATCTAAGCACGTGTACAACCGCCGTGTGATCAAGTGACGTCACTCGCAAGTCAACCTCACTTAATCACACAAGGCGTTCATGAACATCGTTCATACCATACTTAGTAAGTAAACATACATAACAACATCACATCATAGATTGAATGAATAGCGGAAAATATTCAACGGTCAATCATAAGCCACATATGGCAAAACATAGGCTCGCAGGCCAAAACAAAGTAATATTACAAAAGTATCCATGAGCATACTTTATGATTTAAAACAGTAAAGGAAGCACGAACCACGTCTTCCTCTAGATTCTTTTCACCCGTGCAAAGGTGTAGACAACAGGCTCTAGCTTCAACCTGAAATGGTGGCCCCCCGAAAGAGTTAGTACAAGTACCGAACGAGTAGCAAGCTAAATGTAGAGTAACTAACGTTTCAAGTATAAGACCCAAAGATAGGGTGATACATATACTTATACATCTTTACCCCAAGTTACAAAATATATCGGTACTTATATATATTAGGAAATACTCGACCCGTAGATCATTGTTTATTTGGGAAAAATAATAGTAGTCAATGTCCTTGACTTAAAACCCCAACCCACCCATAGACCTATGAGTGTATAAGACTCCTGTCCAAATCAAATAATCATAAGGACACCGCCCGGTCCTGAATTACTAAACAGTAATCTATGAGTTTTGAGGATACCTCCCGATCCTTGGGTACGCCACCCTATATAACCGAGTTTTGAGGATACCGTCTCATCCTTGAGTACTCCATCCGACATAACCGAGTTTTGAGGATACCTCCCGATCCTTGGGTACTCCACTCGACATAACCGAGTTTTGAGGATACCTCCCGATCCTTGGATACTCCACCCGACATAACTGAGTTTTGAGGATACCTCCCGATCATTGGGTACTCCACCCGACCTATGATCTACCACATATCATACTAGATATGGTCTATATCATAATCAATAAACAAGACTAAACCAAGTCTTAAGGCCTAAGCAAACTCATCCATGCAATTCATGCATTAAAAATCAACATATGGGCAATATAAGGCCAAACCGGTGCCGGTTCAAACCTGACTGGCGCCGGTTCATAATCAAATAATATGAACCGGGCTAAACCCGCTCAAACCGGCGCTGGTTCTATGCATGACCGGCGCTGGTTGCCCCTGGACAACCGGTCAACTCTCAGTTGACCCGTCATTCCAAATCCAATATGCGTCAAACTTAATCACAACATGCATTAAGTTATAAACAAACATATTATGCACCATTTATCTCTAAACATATCACCTATGTTTTTATAAACGTTTTCATATCACAACTCATGCATATCTCAATAGTTCATTTCATACAAGCCTAATCACTTTGGCTAATCACATGTTTAATCTCATTTAAACATTTTTATGAATACATATAACATTTACTTAGGTAATCTCATGCTTAACCCAAAAGTTACAAGACATTAAGTCATCCACTCACCTCAAATGAGCTTTAAGAAGTTCTACCCTTCTTAGTTGAAATCCGGCAAAACTCCGGCGAAACTCCGGCGAAACTCCGACGAAACTCCGGAGAATTCTAAAAACACTTTAGTCAAGCTCCTAACATGGTTTCATCATCACAAAACCCATATCAACACAAATAACCCTTAAAAGGTTATTTTCCGGCAAACCGGTCGTTTTGGCTTCTAAGTCCGTTCTTGGACTTAGAACCACCTTCCAACCCCTTGTTCTACACTTCTAAACACGTAGAACAATCCAAGGGGTACTTCATATGGTATATAAGTCATATGAAAATCAAAAGACGGAAGAAAAGCTTTTAAGGAGTTCCTCACCTTTATTTTTCAAGGGCTTCTCTACTTTTGCAACTTTTTCTTCTTCCTTGAGATCCTTGCTTGTTCGAGATTGCCTTGGACATGGAGGATAATAATTTCAGAGCTTCTTTACTTGCCGGTGTGTTTGGTAGAGCAAGGAGATAGGGTGTGAGGGAGAGTTGCTTATTTTTTGTCAAATGACAAATAAGTGATGGGAGGGGGTCCTCCATGTACTTAGATGCCAAAGCCACCTGCTCCACATCTTCCTTTGTCAACTCCAGCCTCCTCATGTCTAATTGAGCACAAAATTTCGTGGGGTGGCCCTCACTCATGTGGGAGGTCATCCCATTAAGTCCTGAACTGTATAATCGGTCCCGAAAGTTGTATTTCCCGGACTGTTTTAATTATATTTTATTTTATCGGATCAAATAAAATATAACACATGTTCCTACTCATTGTAGGCCTTTATAATGGATGTACATTCCCCAACTTTAATTTATAAGCCTCCGAAATTCATTTCAGGCTGTTATCCGATAAATTACCAATACCGGTAATTGGGTCTCGTTTGACCGACGGGTCAATCCTATGCCCTTTCTATGGCCCAATTAAAATATCCACCACCATATAAATATTATATACACCAAGATGAATATAATATGTGGTCCCAGAATTATCGGGTGGTCCCCGCTCCCGATGTGGACCCCACGTGCAATTCACTATTCACGAAAAAAGTAATAACAAAAATTTACAACCTCGTAAATTCATAAATCATTATTCAGGGTTTATTACATGATTTACTAAAAAGTAAATATACTTGGGGACGATGTTACAATATATACGCGACTATAATGTAGCTTATTCATTACAAATGTGAACAAAGTGAATTTACCAATTTTTTTAATGGGTTAAAAGGTCAAATAGGCTCTCGAACTAATTTAAAAAGTGCAAATCACCCCTTATGTAAGAGGCTCTGTCCGGCCGTCACCATTTGGGGAGGATCCCGGTGTAATTTTTTGATGAAATTGTTTGAGCTTCTTCTTCATTAAGTCTAGTTTACCCATACCAAATTTCAAAAAAAAATTCAACCGGGAAGATAGTCAAATGATTTTATGAAATGTACTGCGCTGTTTAACTGCGCAGTTATCTTCAAAAATTCATTTGTCTGCATTCGTGATTGAACTTTTAGCTGAAATTTGGTATGAGTAATCTAGATTTAATGCAGAAGAAGCTCAAGAATTTTTATCAAAGAATTATACCAGGAACCACCCCAAATGGCGATGACCGGACAGAGCCTCCTAAATAAGGGGTCATTTGCAATTTTTAAGTTAGTTTGAGGGATTATTTGACTCTTCCCTTTTTAATGTTATCTATTCAATATAAGGGAAGAACAATTATTTTCCCTCACCACCGTCCTGAAAGATTAAAGTCTGAGGGGGTGTTTGGCAATTGACTGTTAGTTGTTGGCTGTTGGCCGGTTGTTCTAGCTTATTGATGACAACAGATTCGATTGACTGTTTTAATCAGCTGATAGTATTAGCAGTTGGTAAAATAATGTTTAGTTAAATCGATGTTTATAATCAGCTTATAATTTATTAAATGACTTTTAAGGACATCATATTTACTACTTATTTTACTTACTACATATTTTATATACGTATCATACATTTAGTTAATTTTATAACCATGGTAAACCTAAGTGGCTGCATCATGCATGCTTAAAATATACCCCTTAGAATCGAAGAAATAATTTGCTCTGTGCGTAGAATGGCGTAGCTGTTGTTATGGGTAAAGTAGAAAAAATGGAAAATAAAGTGAACGATCGTTGCTAAAAGCTAAGATTTGTAGCATTTTATATTTTGGCTTTTTGACTCAAAAGATTAAATGGAAAAACTATTTAACCAAACACATCAATAACTATTTAATGTGGTCATACAGTTAAAAGATGTCGAATCTGCCAAAAAATGGCCGATAGGCTCTTAACCAAACACCCCTTAAATAGGTCAGTATTATTAATAGATGGTCCTAAGAAATTGTGACAATTTCTAAAAAAGATAACGTGATTAGCAAATTGAATATCCAAACAATTTAATTCCACTATGTCCAAATACGTATATTAAATTTAGAGAAAAGTACAGATTAGATATCTGTGCTTGTGGGTGTTTTCACTTAGGGATCTGTGATGATCTTTGTAACAAACGCATCCTCGTGTTTTACTACCGTTACCACCCGCGGGGTCTATTGGATCTGGCCGTTAGTAAAGTGCGACGTGGCATATATTTTTTTGGGATAAGGGTCAGATAGGGCCTCAAACTTGAAAAAAAATGTCAAATAAGGCCATATTTAGGATGCTCTGTCCGGCCGACGCAATTTGGGGCATGCGCAGTTATCTTCAAGAATTAATTTGAATGCCTTCCCAGTTGAAGTTTTAGTTCAAATTTGATATGAGTAAACTAGGCTTAATGAATAAGATTCTCAAAAACAATCATCAAAAAATTCAACCGGGAACCGCCCCAAATTGCGTCGACTGGACAGAGCATCCTAAATATGGCCTTATTTGACATTTTTTTCCAAGTTCGAGGCCCTATCTGACCCTTATCCCTAATTTTTCCAAATAGTCTCCAGCGTGGCCAATGGAGAGCAAATATTTGAATTCTTAAAAAAACCAAAAGCTTAAGTCAAATTAGGGCTTAACAAAATACGATTTAGGCGCGATAGGAAGTTCTTCTTGACATCGCTTCTTCACCTGCGTTTGGAAAGAAGAATAATTGCTGGTCGTAGCAGACAAAGGACAAGAACGCACGGACTGGGGTATTGAAGTTTAGTTACTTTCGTGTTAATGTCCTGAGGTCATAGTAAGTACTCCAACTATTCTTTATTTTGAAGTTTGGTTTAGATTTTTAGGTTACACCGTCAATGGTGTTTTGAAACCTGGTTGGTTGGTGTATTAATGTGTGAATGAGTTTGTTTTGAAACCCAGTTGGTAGTTTTGCAGAGTAGCACTTTAAGTTGTCATGTTTTTATGGTTTGGGATGTTTAGGTTGTCCGCATTCAATGTATTTGCAGGTTGGGAATGAGTGATTACATGAATTTGAAAATTCACCATGGTGGAAAGTGGGACTGTCTAAGACAAAAGAAAACGTATGTGGGGGCCGGGTTTTGTTTAAAGAAAAAGTTGACATTGACTATGTGAGCAAGTTTGAATTAGATGGGTATGCAAAAGATTTGGGTTATACAAATGGGGTCCAAATGTGGTTGAGAAGATTCTCAATAAGGGAGTACACATGTTGACTTGTACTTTGTTGCAAACACTAGTAAGAAACGGGTGGTGGGTACTTTACCACAAGATACAACCCAATCTTCACAGGAAACTCAAAGTTCTGTCCCAAGTACAACACCAAGTAAATACCAACCTGCAGTACCACAACCTCTAAATGCACATCAATTCATGGGTGTATCAACTACATTTGTGGAAACAGAATTAGAGAGTGATGAGGAAGATGATGACTATGTAATTCAAAGTGGTTCTGAAAGTGCTTCACGGGAGCATTCCAATTCCAATATCAGTGAATCTAGCTGGCTATCCCAACAAGAACTAGAAGGGAGTGAAGATGATGTCTTTAATCATGAAAGTGCAACATTAAACCAACAACCACAAGGAGATCCTGAATCACCTTCACAACCTAACACTTTTGGCCATGAGGATCTGAATGAAGAGCAGCTTGAGGAGTTTAATGAGAGGCCCTGTTATAGTGATGACCTACATAGCATTGTAGGATCTAATGAAGGTGATGCCAAATATGAAGAGTTCAATGAAGAAACAGGTGCTACACATCCAGAATTGTCCAAAGGTTTGAAATTTAGTACACATACCTCCTTTAGAAATGCTCTTAAGGATTGGGCTGTCAAAGCTGGATTTGAATTTAAATTTGTGAAGAACAATAGATCTAAAATAACTGTGGTATGCAAAAACAAGGACATATGTTCTTTCAGAGTTCATGCTTCTAAACTTCCTGAGTGTGGGTCCTTTCAGATTAAGACATTTAGGCCAAAACATGAATGCCCTTTCAGTAATAGAAACAGCTTGGTCAATAGTACATATTTAGCTAAAAAGTACATGGATGAATTGAGGGAAAATCCTGAATGGGATGTCAGTGCTATGCAAAAGTCAGTGCAAAGACAATTAAGGGCTGAGGTAAGTTTGGCAAAGTGTTATAGAGCTAAAAGAAAGGTAAAGGCAAAGATTCAAGGGGTCATAAAAGAACAATATAGGAGGTTGAAGGATTATGGAGAGACTGTAGTTATATTCAATCCTGGGAGTGTAGTCAAAATAAAAACTGAAGCTAGGGATGAGATTGTAGAAAGTGTTAATGCAGAGGGTGGTCCAAGAATGCCCAAGGAAATTCTGATGTTTCAGTACATGTACATGAGATTTAGTGCATAAAAGCAGGGGTATTTTGCAGGTCTTAGATCCTTAATTGGGTTAGATGGAAGTCATTTGAAAACACCTATGGGAGGGCAACTACTATGTGCTGTAGCAAGGGATGGAAATGAAAACATGTTTCCTCTTGCTATAGCATATGCGGATAGTGAAGATAAAGCTTCATGGACTTGGTTCTTGCAAGTATTTTTTGAAGACTTTGGCAGACCAGAGGAAACTAAATGGGTTTTCATGTCTGACAAACAAAAGGTAATAAAAAGTACTTATTTCTTGTTTAAAACATGTGAATAACTTCTTTCTGTAGACTGTGTTTAATTGCTAGTTTCTTCCAGGGTTTAGTTGAGGCATTCAAGGTTGTGTCACTTGCAAATGAACACAGATACTGTGTGAAGCACATGTATGAGAACTACAAGAAAATCTTTAGAGGGGCTGAGTACAAAAAGAAGCTCTGGTTTGCAGCTAGCACTGGAAGTCTGAGGTCATGGGAGAGGCAGATGGAAGGAATAAAGAAGTTTGATGAGGGTGCTTACAACTGGATTATGCACTATGACCCAAGTACTTGGAGCAGATCTCATTTTTCAACCCAAGCATAGTCTGATGCTTTGCAGAATAACATTTGCGAGTCATTCAATGCATACATACTTAGAGCTAGAGATATGCCTATTTTGAGCATGTTTGAGTGGATTAGAAGAAGGTTGATGGCTAGATTTCATGTTAAGTACACTGCCATGACTAAGTATAAGGGTGATATTTGTCATAATAAGCAAGATGTACTAGAAAAATTCAAATTTGAAAGTAGGAATTGTTTTTCTACGCCTGCTGGGGACAAGCTATTTGAGGTTGATTTCTATGACACTAGCCATGTGGTTAATCTTAGAGACACGACTTGTACATGTCGAAGGTGGGATTTGAATGGGATCCCTTGTAAGCATGGAGTGTCTGCTATATATGCCAATAGAGAGAAACCCGCAGACTATGTGAGTGCTTTTTACGCTAAATCCACTAATTTGGCTGTGTATAAACACATAATCCATCCTCTACCAAGTAAAGATGAGTGGGAGAGGTCAGATACTCCAGATATTGAGCCCCAACTCCTAGAAAACCTTCAGGAAGACCCAAGAAAATAAGGATTAAACAACCACATGAAACTAGGAATCCCTATAAGGTGTCTAGGGCAGGTAAGCAGGTCATATGTGGCAATTGTAAGCAAGTGGACCACAATGTTAGAGGGTGTAAGACATCCATAACTGGAGAAACATCATGGCAAAGGAGAAAGAGGTTAGGAAAGCAAAAATCTGCCCAAACAACCCTATGTGGTGATGATCACACAACTGACCCAACCTCTCATGACCCAGAGCAGACTGACAATAATGAAACTCTTCATATGTCAACTCCCATTGCCCATTATCCAGTTTCCCAAAGGGGTGAAGGAAGGACAAAGCAGAAAAGAAGAATAAGCAGTTCACAACCACCCCACCCAGTAGCCGGAAGAGTGACTAGGTCCTCAAGTTCACAACCCTCAATGGTAGTATTTTGTTCTTCATTTTTACTGTAACCTAATCTTTAGTGTTTTGTCTTTACACTTACTGTGATCTTATTACTTATTTCAGGATCCAAAGCACTAAGGATGGAGTGATGGGAAAGAAGTCATCATGCAGTTGTGAGGATGTGCTATGTTTTCAGTTCACTTTTATGTACTCGTCAATCATGCCTTTTATGAGCATGTGTTTTGTAATGAACTTGTTGTATGACATTGGCATCTAAGTTATTTTGGGTATATTATGAAGTAAGGTTACATTATGTTATGAAGTTCTGAAATGACACTGCCATGTAATTTGTGTTGGGTGAAATGTATGTTTATTTTGTCCATTTCTCTCTCTTTTGGATAAGTAAACAGATTGGATCAGTTTGTCCATTTTATTTTCAGGTTTTTGGATCTTTTGGGTATACATATGGTGCAACCAATTGTTCTGGTTTTGGGTTTTAGGTGTATACATGGATTGTGTGATACCTATTGTTCTAGTTTTGGGTATATATATGCTTTTAATGGATGCTATCAAACCAAATGTCATTTTGTATAGGTTATTATTCAAACCTTTATCAATCATTTGGGTATATATATGCTCTTAATGGATGTTATCAAACCAAGTGTTATGTTTTACAGGTTTCTTTTGTAACACCAAATGGTATGTATTTGTGAATGAATCCTTGTGAAACCAAATAATCTAGGGATGTTGTATTAAGCTCTGTTTTTCGGTATATGTGGATAACAAACTTCATAGTACATACATTAAAGAAATTCACAAAAAGTTCATATAGCAAGCATCAAACATTGTTACATTTCATTACACATTACAAAATGGAAACACACTACAAATGAAAGTGAACACAATGACATCTGGTTCAGCCATTTCATGAAAGACATTGACAAGAACTTACACCTAAAACCTTCTAATTGCAAAGAAGATAAAACATATCAGGGACACACAAAGTAGCTTCCACTTAAAAGTCAGATTATCATTCTTAGCCATCTTCAATTGCAGTTCCATGTTCTGCACCTTCAGAACACCAATTCCACGAACGCAACTCTTCATTTCACCCTCCAGCTCCATCTCTTTCATCCGGACATGTTCTTCAAGTCTTCCAACCTTCTGAAGAACCAAATCTAGGTTCTCCTGACAAGTACGACATCTGTCCTCCTCAACCCACTCAAAAAATTTGCATTGTTGACCACCCACTCGAATAACGCCCACAACCATGAAACCTTTTCCCTCTATTCTTCGTTGTTGTCACCGTCCAAATCGGTGCTTGTACTCCACAATCGAACATCTTCAGTTGTTGTCTTCCATCCATGGCAGATGAGCTTGAATTTGAAGAACTCATCTTTCTTCTTCGTCATACCCTAAGCGCCTGTGGAAGAGATGTATTCGGACTGTTGTTATAAGGTTTCAGATTGGGATTGTCATTACTTAATAACACGGATAATGACATGGTGATTCAAGATTGGGATTGCAAGCCACGTAAGCACACTTGTGGAAAATAATGTTCCACTTCATATTATTTAAACGGAGTCAAGATAGGGACCCCACGGGTGGTAACGGTAGCAAAACACGAGGGTGCATTTGTTACAAAGATCATCACAGACCCCTAAGTGAAAACGCCCACAACCACATGTATCTAATCCGTACTTTTCCCTTAAATTTATGATGAAGTTGCCGTCATTGATGCTGTATTGGGAAAAACGTGTTCTACAATTGCTGATACAAATGAATACATGGAATTATGGAAACATCCTTTAAAACCATTATGATTTGGTATCAAAATTACTTGTTTAACAAAATAATGATTTTTATAAGAAAATAGAATTTTGCTGATACAAATGAATACATAGAATTATGGAAACGTCCTTTAAAACCATTATTATGATTTGGTATCAAAATCACTTGTTTAACAAAATAATGATTTTTATAAGAAAATAGAGTTTGAGGTCACGAAACATTCTAATTGTCAGCGGGATAATAACTGACAAGTAGTTCACATGTTAGCGAGGATTGCACTTTCTATGTTGGATGATTTATTAAAGTTTTATTTTCATCCTGATTGTATTGTATCCCAAGTGGAAAATGAAAAGTTGAATTAATAATAGATTAGCGTTCCTTTTAAAAAAACTGATAAGTAGTTGAGGTCTTCATGATATTGAAAAATGGAACATTTTTCAAGGGTAAAGACAAACAAAAAAAACTCAGCAAATAAAAGGCAATGTGAAGCATTTTACGGGTGATAACTGAAAATAATTATGGGTAAAAGCATTTGTAAACATGAAATTTTATGGGCGAAATTCATACAAATAATCCCTACTTTTAAGGATTCTACATTGATAATCCATACTAAATGAATTAATAAAAATAATCTGAACTCTTAAACCTGTTGACAAAAACAAATGAAAGTAAATGTTACTAACTGTTCCATTATAATCTCATCCCGTCGCCCACTCCCCTACCTCTCCAGTACATAGCTTCTTCTTCTTAGGAGTATTTTTATCCTCTAATCTATCATCTTCTTCACTATATTCTCTGCAATTGTTTAGAATCACATAAATTCTTCCCATCACCCTTAAATTCTTCATAATCATTCATCACATTCATCTACCCCTATTTTCTTGTTCATCTTACAAAACCTAAATCTACGAACAATTGAACAATACTACAAACAAACATCATATACATAATAATCATTAAATTAAATCACCTTAACCCTAATAGTAATTTCTAGTCCGTTTATTGTGAAAAAAAATCAAAATTTTACATACCTAGTACAGACCCTCTCTTCGACGGCTATTTCATTTCAGCGACGTGATATGTCCATTACAAGATGACAGATGAAGTGTTGATTGAGATAGGATTAAGATGTAAAGAAGAAAAAAGTTTTTTTTAAGAACAGAGGTGTAAGAAGAGAATGATGAGCGGATGAAGAGGAAGTTGAGCAGGGGAGATGAAGAGAACGTATGGAGAGGTGGACTGGAATGATATTTGAAACGGAATAGTTAACCCCATTTCATTTAATTTATTTTTATAAACAAGTTTACATGTTTGGATTATTTTCATCAATTTATTCGGTATGGATTATTAGTGTAGAATCCTTAAAAATATGGATTATTAGTATGAATTTCGTCAATTTTATGTGATCTAAGGTTTTTAAATATTTAGTTCCATTTAAGTACAAATGTTTGTAGTAAGCAAGTTTTAATTGGTGTGTAAATTGAGTCATCGACTCTCAATAAGTTGTGCACTTTATAAAATTTAAAATCTCATCATGAATAAAATGACTTCTTATAGTTAGTGTAATAATTTACACCCAACCATTTAATAATATTTATTAGAAGTTGCATTTTTCGGAATTACATTATGAAAACTAATACGGAGTATCAAATACTCCATCAGTCCCAAATTGTAAGATACATTTACTATTCACTTGGTCAACATAAATCACTCTCAATCTTTTACTTTATATATCACAAGTTTATGAAGTTTGGATTATTTTTTGCAGGTTTTGTAGCGGTTTCAATGTAGTTTCTGAATATGTAAACTTTATTTTCTAAAACTAATTTGAGTGTTGACAGGGATCAATTTGCTTTATCATCGGTCAAACATCGTAAACCGTAAAGTATCTTACAAATTGGGACGGAGGGAGTATCAATATAGACTCGAGTATTACAAAGTTCATTGACATGTTTGGGATTCTCTTATAAAATTCTCCTTGAAAAGACAAAATGAGTAATGGAGGATGCATTATAATCTAACACATTATAGAGTAATGAAGGATGCATATCTAACACATTATAGAGAAAGTTATTGAACTTTACACAATTACACATGTGAATCAGTATAATAATTATTCAGAAACCATGTCTTAAAATAAAAAGAATACTTATGACTACCAACAAATGGGCATGATAATAAATAGTATGAGGAAATGTCAGCAAATAACTCATTATTGTATAATACACCATAACATCATTACACCAAACTGTGACAGATATTGTGTCTTGTGGCATGATGATGAACAATTTCTATTTGATCGAGCCCAACGTATTCACATTGTGGAAATACGAGGTAGCAGCCTTCGCTTTGTCTTTTTCGTGTTTAAAGATTCAGAATCAAAATTAGGCAATTCCAGAGAGAACTCAACAGGTATTTGTGATGAAATTACTCTACAATGTTCAGATTCCCGCACATATATGGGTAATTTTGTGCCCCGGTTGTATCTGACAGCAGCAAAGTGAATATTACAATGGTCACTGGCAGATGGAAGGGTGGGTTTACGAGCATACAGATGGAGATGCTGGTGGGTTTTGATGTTAGCTTTTGGACAAGTTAACCAACAGGTACACTTCAAATAAAGTTTTAAGTTTCAACAGCTTTTTTAGCCAAACCAATAGTTGAGGGAGGCAAGTATATGTTTCCCCAGCAACTCAAAACTGAGAGGCATATTTGTCACACACCAGTGACACCACTTCACAAAAATCAAATGTCACACACAAGAACTTTTTTGTCTATCACATACATTGGTTTTCGTTTATCCATGCAAAGTACAACAAGCAGGTAAACTAATGTTTGTGAGCGAGCTAGCTTATTTACAAAAAATATGTTCCGCTATAAAGAATTTATTGATAAAATGGAGATTAGAGAGACAAAAACTCATTCATTTTGAAGTCACATAGCTTTTAGAACCTATTTTGTAGGTAAATTTAGAATGAATTCGTAACAAAATGGTGACTGAAACAATTCCAAAAAAGAGCTCAGGGTAGTGAATAGAAGGATATCATGTCCTTTTGTCTATATTGATTCTTACTCTAGAAATTTGAAGGTGTTATTTATTGAAAACCCCGGATTTAGTCAATTCATTTGTTCACAAAACAACTTACAAGTTTTTCAAATAAATTTGTTTTACATAATTCCACCGATTGTATGTGACCACACTCGGCCTAATGAGTATAGATTTCATTTTCCAATACTTCTCAGGTAGTGTAAAGTACTGAAAGCCAAATGCTTGAAAATAAACAAAAAGACATTTAGTTTTCCTTAAATAATAAACTTGCTCAAAATCATCATCAATGCTCAGCATTTTTGGCACAGGAACTTCATCACAAGTAAAATTCATCTAGACAAAACAACATAGATTAGTCCAACCGAAGCAACAGCAATGCAAGAATAAGAAACGCCTTGAACGCGACAAAATAACAAGTTCAATTGCTTGGCAACCTGAAGAGTAAGAGTCAGAATCTGCAGCCTACCTTGTTCCTCCATCTTCTTGAAGAAGTACATTGGTTTGAGCGACCTTCTCAGCATGAACGCCAACGAAATCGGGAGCCCAAAGGCTAAGAAGCTCTGCAGCGAAATCTCAGGCATCGGAGAATCCCTGGAGACATACAGAAACCAGGCACCCAACCCCAGTTGAAACAGGCTGAGAAAACCCAACGCCTTACTCAGACCGTACACATTCTTCATCATCTTCTCAAGAACCTCTCGGGTCTCATTGGCCAGCGCGGATTCGTCTCGCTCTACGGTGGGGCCAGTGATCTCCTGGTGCTTGAACTCATCGGCGCTTTGAGATTTTTCACTGCCGTCGCTGGGCGGCTCCGAAGAAGTTGAAAATCTGACCTTTTGACCGATCGTTGACAGATACAGATCAGACTGTTTGGGTGTGCGAAGAAAATTTCGGAATTTGCAGTTAGGGTTCCGATGGGGTAGGGGACGATGATGAGCACTAAATTGGGCGATTGATCTGTTGGGTAGGGAATCTGGGCGATTTAGTTTTTGAATCGGTGAAGAGGGGGGAGACTCGACTGGAGTGGAATGGAAGAATTGAGTGAGGAAAGGTGAGATTCTTGTGTTTCCATGCCGGGCGCAGAGATGGGACAAAGATGAAGAAAAAAGAGGTCTGAAAATTCTAGTACTGTGTCTCTTCGCTAGGGTTGAAGCCATGGCTCAAAACATCGAGGTGGATGACAAATGGTGTACCGCCCCAGTTTTGTCCAGCCAATGAACTTTTCTTTAATTCATGAAAATTTATTAGTCTAATTACTAATAAAAAGTCTATTACTCCATACTAGATTACTCAAAACGATATGAAACAAATTAAATTAAATAAATGTAATTCATCTACTAAATCAGGTCTAAGAGCATCCACAATGCATGTAGTCTAGTCTAGGATAACATATGTCAAATGTCAAATAATTAAATGGTTTTCTACATGAAGTGGGATGACTGGATTTTGAACTATGAAAGAGGTCTCCAACGCACAACATCTTACTGCCCAAGTCCGCTTACGGTTATGATGTCGATTTATTTTATTAAAACAAGAGTAAATTATGACTTATGAGGTCAACTAGATCGGGACCTTTGATGACTATGATGAGATGATCGATATCCTTTTGAGAGATCCCATCTTTGATCGAACTTGTCCAGCACTATACAGAGTCTTCTTGTTTCTTCTGCCGACTTAATCTTTCATTTCATAAATCTTCGCCCTTTATTTTTCTTGAGAAATTGACCCTTCCGCAGGGTCGATGTATTTCTGTTGTTCCCAAAAAAAGTGAAAAGCAACACACTCATGTAGCAGTTACGCCGGAAAGAGGCAGCAAAGTCGCATAAAAGTATTCCGTAAATAGATTTCAGTTATCCTTTTATTTTTATTTATCTAGTCAGCAAGTTTACACTACTTTCTACACCTAGACATTTCCCTTCACATTGTCCGCCCGTTTTTTGCCAGCTCATCAAAACCAAATATAAGACTACTTGCATTGGAGGAGGAAATAAGTATAGAATGTGTAATTTAGTGAGGTGACATGTTTTTCTTAGACTAGACTATGCTGCAATGCGGATGCTCTAAGCATATCATATAAAAAATGAGGTCCAAGCATATAGGCTCATTATATCAAAAATTCAAAATTGAGAGGATAACCTGCAAATCAGTACGAGCTAATTCTATAAGATGATGATGTTTACGTTTAGAGACCCCATTTTGTTGGAGAGTGTCAGGGTAAGATTTTCGAAATAATATGCCATTTTTCAAATTCACCCCCTCCATCACTTTGAAATTTTTTGATTTTATGATCAAGTAAATTTTCCACCATTAATTTAAAGTTTTGAAAATGATGAACAACTTCATCCTTGCAGCGCATAAGATATAACCAAGTAAAACGATAATAGTCAGCAATGAAGAGAACATAATATTTGAAACCAGGTTCTGATAAAACAGGAGATTGCCATACATCTGAATGAATTAAATATAAACGTGCTGTAGATTTATTAAAAACTTTCTGAAAAGGTAATCGTTCAGATTTGCCTAAACGACAAGAAATACAATCATGAGAAAAGGTAGATGTGCTTAAAATAGAACTGGAGTTCCTAAGTTTATCTAAAATACGACTTCCACAGTGTCCCAAACGTCGATGCCAGACTAGGCCAGGTGCAACATGAGTGCTGAGGGCAATAGACATAAGAAGAGTGATTGGGTACACACCACCGTTACTGTAAGCCTGAAAAAGAACCTCCCCCGTGACTTTGTCCTTTACAAAAATAGAACATTTATAAAAATTACTAAACAGTTATCGTCGGCACATAATTTTTGAATAGAAAGCAAATTATATTTAATTTGAAGAACATGATATATATATTTTAAATGGAGAGACCTAGATAAGGAGGGTAATGACACATTACCAACAGTAGCAAACGGTAAAGTGGATCCATTAGCAACCATAACAGAAAGTGATCCAGAGTAAGAGGATATATTAGACAATGTACCTTCATAAGGAGTCATATGAGCAGATGCACCAGAGTCAGGTACCAAATAACAGATGTGGATTCTCCCGCGGAGACAGCTAAAGCATGATTTTGAATCTGAACAAAGCGAGACGAACATGTGACAACATTATGACGTGGAGAATGACATATCTGGCACACAACAGGGGGTGGAACAGTACCAAAACTATGCTCAAAAGACGGTGAACTTGCAGATGCATGCATGATTAATTACAGAAGTAGATAAAGCATAATTAGTATAATACCATGACGCAATTGAATTACCTTCGACCGTACCTGACGATCCCATAGGGTAAGGGGGCTGCCCACTGTAAGGTCCACACGCGGCTGGTGGATGAGGTCCACCATACTGTCCAAAACCAAAAGGAGGAGGTTGGCCGTAGGTGCGACCTCCACGGCCACAACCACCCCTACCTTGCTGTCCGCGTCGGCCACCACAGCCTCGTTGGCCATAGGATTGTTGTTGTTGCTGAGATGGACCACCACGAGGTGCAACTACTGGTGGAGGAGCATCGAATGAGGCTGAGGTGTGGCGAAAGTTGGAGACCCGATGGACTGATCCTAGCGACGCTGAAAGAGAAGCCACTATTCTTGGTGGACCAACTTAGTGCAAAAAGAGTTGAAAGTACGGCCCTCCGGGAATAAAGTAAGAGGAGTCACAACTGAATGATAATCATGGTCTAAACCAATAAGCGTTTACTCCCTTCAAATTTATACAGTAAGAATCAGTAGACAAAAGGACATGATGTCTTTGTATTCACTACCCCAAGCTATTCTTTTGTAACTGTTTCAGTAACCATATTATCGTTCTAAATTTACCTCTAAAATAGGTTCTAAAAGCTATGCAACTTCAAAATGAATGAGTTTTTGTCTCTCTAATCTCCAATTTATCAATTAATTCTTTATAGCAGAATTTATTTATTTTTGATGAATAAGCTAAAAGTCGTTGTCGTTTCCCCAAAATTTTAAGTAAACCTTTTTGAGATAAATAGTCTTTTTTGTGCAATTTCAAGTGGGAAGTAAGCCGGTGTATTCTATTGGTGAAATTCCATATTTGAAATTCAACAGAACCTCTGTTTTGTTGGTTTCGGTTTTTATAAATAGTCGAAAGAGATAAGTTTTTTATCATAAACTAAATGAACTCCCTTCATTGATATATAATATGCATTTAAAATAATTTTTTATAATTAATTCATAGATTCATTTCATAGATATGAAATAATTGATTAGTGACTAAAACGAACTAACGGAAAATAAAGAAAAACATGATAAAATTATTTACTTTTATTATACATTATAATATTATATTTCTTATATAATATATTTGTTATATAAGAAATATTATAGAATAAATCAATTTGACATAAATGAGTCCAATCTTGTCTTATTTTTTTGTAAACAAAACTTTTAAACTTACCCGTTAAAAGAGTTTTTGCTAATGAAAGAGCTTTTAATCTTACCTCAATAGTCTTTCTTTTCCAAATGTTCTTACGAATATGCTTTTTGGCTTTCGAAATACGTTTTTTGGAACGGCCATTTAAAATTAAAATGATTTACAGGTTATCACTAGATGTGAAAGACATTTATTGCTAAAAATGAATTCTTCTAACTAAGTCTATCAATTCAAATCAAAAGAAACCCCTTTTTAGGGTTCATTAATAAAATCAAAGTGAATTTTTTCAACTTAATTTTTTTGGATGAGGTAGAATATATCTATATAGATCTAGATACATATATGGTATCTTCGATTCAGTTAGATCCAAATTAAAATGAGGTATAAAATAAGGTATGTGTCCATTGGTTTTCATCTAACCTGCTACCATCTGCCCCGTTACGGGGTAGATAGTACTACTACCAATTAAATTTCCACTAATTTAATTTCAATGGTAAATACATATGGATCCTTAACATATGAAACGGCTCCCATTATTAGTATAAAACCAATAACGATTCATACAAGCTAAATCTTCCAATCGATAATTAGGTCAAAGAAAAAACTCAATCAATATATTTTGATCCTTAGGCCCAGGGTTGCTTTCTTCCCAAACTTGATTTTTGTTGGAAACTAGAGAATTTGCATCCATGCCATTCCATTTGTTTGAATTGAAACAAATTAGAGTTCTTAATTCTCTATGACGCCTAGATGATAAAATATTTTCAATAAGAAGCGGATCACAATTATTGTTCTCTCGAGCACGAATTATTCTTTGTTTTACGTCTTTTTTATTAAGGATTCGTTTACTCTTATGAACCAATGAAATAACTATGGTTTGATACATAAAAAATTCTCCATTTGGTTTGATAGACAGCGGAAGGGGGTCGACCAAAAATCCCATCTTTTTAAAAATTCTGGAACACTCTCTTTTGAGTCTGGAACATTTCTTTTTGAATTTGGACCATTTCTTTTTGAAACTGTAACACTCTCTTTCGATTTATCATTCTAAGCAAGAGACAATAGATCTGGAGATCTTGAAAATGGCCTTGATTTAAAGTAAAATCATCTCTAAATTGAAAAAATAAATAGTTTTTCATGAACAACTCTAGTTCTATCTCAGTTTGACTTTTCTTTTCACCTTCAGTTTCGCATTTGGTTTCACCTTCAAGTTCACTTTCAAGTTCACCTTTAGGTTTACTTTTGGTTTCACCCTTAGTTTCACCTTTGGTTTGACCCTCATGTTCACTTTTGGTTTGACCCTCAACTTTATCTTTTTCTTACTCTCAGTTTTACCTTTGGTTTCACCCTCAGTTTTATCTTTTTTATCTTTCTTAGTTTTACCGGCCTTTTGACTCGTCATTTCATTAAGATTCAAATTTGAAATAAGTGATTCGCTTGGTATAATCCATGGTTTCAAAGGAGTGAATCTACAAGCAGATCAATATACAGAAGACTTTCAAAAACAGCAACACCGTGTGATTTTTATCGGATGTTTTGTGATGTTGTTGATGAGTGGAGGTCAGAGGAAAATGGTCTTGATTTCAGATCTTTGGAAGGTACTGTTGAGATGGTACTTTTGCCAGGAGAGTGTTTTGTCTCATGCCAGGGATGTATATACGGTTGAGATATTCAAACTTTTCCAGGAATAATATTTGAAGGGTATGTCACATTTTCATGAGTTTTTGAAACATAGTTGTCATGATTGTATTTATCATGTTTGGTTGAATGGTGTTGATCTGATTAGACACACTGTTACATTTAATGAGCATGACCACACAGTGACTTGTACTTGTAA